TCGGAGCCCGGCCTGCCCGCCAGGAGCAGGTTGCGCCTGCTAGCCCGCGTGAGGGCTCTGCCGCCCACCCCACGGCCACGACGCTGCCTGTCCCCAGGCTGGTCTGCAGTGACAGCCACCGTTACCGGGGAGCCTTTTCCCGGGGCGGGGTATGCGCGCTGTTGTGGGGATCTGCCCAAACACCAGTGCAACAAAGGAGATCATCGCGTGGAACAGGTTGGGGATACCCAGGAAAGTGACAGCATAGTTCTGTCCTGGTCCAATTGCAATGATGAGAAAAAGCAAATTGTGTAAACAGTCTTGGAAGCAATTAATAAAAGTGTTGCATTAACTGGTTGGTACCCACTGTCGCGTTAAACGCAATGGCCAAAATTTCTGGCAGCCACAGGGCACAGCCACTCAAAATAAACTAAGATTCAGCTGCACACCGACACATCAAACCCAGACGGAACAGTGCAAAAAACGCAAAACATTCCATTTCTCAACGCATTTGGACATTAAGCTTACCACACCTCGTGGAGAGAAGCGTTCCCGTCGAAGAGGAAAACGAGAGCAAGGAAAACAACACTGACGCCGAAACGCAGCAGCGCGGGCAAGAAAAACGGGAACGTGGGCAAAACTCAAAGAAACACCACGACTGCCGCGTCTGCCACAAAATGGTGTGCAGTGGTTCTTATCTGTTGAAACTGATTAACACGCTGGTTTTATAAAACCCTGCCACAGAACATAACTGTCCAAAACACACAACCAGACCTAAGGACTCCATGACACAGGACTTCTCACTGTTCACCTATCAAGCCATCCCCATTTCCCTAGCTCAAGCCCTAAGTCCTCCGAGGCCCCTCCTTGGCTTCTGAGTAGGAAGGTTCACCCCCAAGACCAGTCCTGCTCCAACAGCCACGCAGAGCCCCCAGCCACAAGGTCCGCTCAACGTGCGCCGGGCGGATGACATCCGGCCGTTCCCTGCGGCAGGGAACAGGGCAGGAATCGGCACCGAATCCCGTCACTTCCTGACGGCGAGAAACGCCGGCTCCGCGGGTCTCAGTCTGGCCCCACACCCTTTGTCCTGTCTCGGGTGTCGAGCTCACAACTCCTGAAGAGTCTGTTGCCTGCCCGCTAACCGACCCGAGCCCCGCGCACCCTGAGCCCACCGGCCAGCCTGCCGTCACCTTTTTCATCCACGCTTCGCAGCAGCCTGGCTCCCCGGGCCTCCGCGGGCGCCGGCAGAACCGGCCAAGCTGGGTAGTACTGGCTGTGCGATGCTGCGCTGCCGGGCTGGTGTTTACGAGTGAGACGCAGTAGCCGAGCGGCGCTCGCC